CCTGGAATTTATTTAACAGCACCTAAACTTGCTGAGAATATTAGAATTATAAAGATGATTCGAGCGCCTTCACGAAGAAAAAGAGAGAGTTTATCGCAAATTTAGCAACTTGGATGCGTAGCGCCTGACGGAATCCTCGAGTGGTCCAAGCATTCTTGCACGCCCACGCGATTTCGAGATGCAGATCGCTTTCCTTGCGCGACGCTTTCCTTCCTACGAGCAGCTCTTTAAAAAAAGCTGCCGGAAACTCGGCATTTAAATTCCTCCACTATCGCAGGAAGATTATTCCACCGCGTGCTGGAACGTAGGCTCGCTTCGTTACCTCTCACGGTTATTGCAAAAGACAAGAGGATTCTCCTTATATGACGCATACCGCGTCACTGCTACACACACGTGACGATATTAATATTGCGCCTCGTGATATTATATTAATCTAGAATGTATGTACGTCGGAGCGCATACATGGCTCTCGTGGGATGCGGGAGACCATTCAGATGATTCCGGGAGGTCGTAAAAATTCTAAGTGAACCTCTTCCGTCCTTTAACAGCGCCATGGAGGTTTTTGCGTAGAATCGTTTGAGGTATACGATTGCTCGCGTTACGATAGCATTTCGTATTTCTGGAATTTATATCGTGGAAATATGAAAATTCGATTTATACGAAGGCTCGTAAATAGTCGGATAATCGGCGATCGTAGAGTCTATCACGCTCGGACAATCGTTATTTATCATATCAACCCCCGCGACTCGTTATTCGAATACATAAATTGCGCAAATGCGTATATTCATCGCGATTCTATCTTCTTTCTACCATTAATATTGTTATAGCAGACAGATATTTAACGAAAAAATATACGAATTATAATATTTGTCGATAATATTTATTAATATTTCTTTGTCTTATCTATTAATTGTTTAATTTATTAAAAGATAAATATACATATAATATGTTTAAATAAAATACGAGCGTAATTATTTTCTGAAGTCTTAAAATTAATTCGTAATTGAAAATTTTATCAAGTCTTCCCAATCTGCGATATTATATTTTATCATATTTCAATAACTTCCATTGCATCTTCCTTAATATGTATATAAAATTTTTATTACATTCTTTCTCGTGTAAGTGATTGCACGAGCGCGTGCATAAACTTTTACGCGCTTAAAATTGCACACGAAAGCGCGTAGGATATGTTGATTTCAGCAACTCTATTCCTCTCGCTATTTTCCCTTCTCTTTTTCGGTCGTATTCAAATGAATATTGCAGTTGCGCAGGAACGCGCTCGTATATAAAAGTGTGCGGAGACTTGTTTGGGGCGGCCAATAAATTATATCTGGCGTCATAAAAAACTTTCAGGAACACCAACGCGAATATTTGCTCTCTTATTCTTCTCGCGCCCCGTTCTCTTATTCTTCCTAGCAATCAGCGTAATTGATGAAAGGGCTTTCCACTTTTCGGTGCTTTATATGCGCAACAAAATCTATGTATCATGTATATATATTTTACGTATTTATCATATATCTTAACTTTAATAATAAAATAAAAAGTTTATATATTAAAAAACGCGTCAATATTTTCTCTTTGTATCCTGTACATTTATTGTATTTTCCGTAAAATAAAAAGCTAAATTCCCCAGATTTAAGCTATTATCATTTTTTTTCTTAGAATGCATAGTCTGCATACCTTATTAGCGTTGTAAATGACACTGTAAACATAAAGGTGACTGCGGGCTATCGCGAAAATTGAAACAAACGCGGCTATCTCGCTTCGTGTAACGAATGTCAGTTGTCGCCTGTCGGAGGTTCGCTTTATCGACAAAAAGTGTCACGAGAAGCCGACGATTTACGACCAAGATTGGTATCGGTGAAACAAATGGTATAACGGCAGACTGATTCGCCAGAAAGATTCGCCATGAAGCCTGTAATTCGCTCACTGTGTTGCGCAAAATTTTAATTAAACTTATTTAACAATCGCTAGTTTTATATGAATTTTTTTGCAACAAGGCTTATTGAATGCCATGTAATGCTTCTGATAAAAAAAACGGAAGAAAAGAGATATTAAGGATTATATTATATCGAGGTTTCTTTTAATTTATATTGTAAATGTGTAAATAATTGTAAAATAATATTGAGCGTTTTAATTATTTATTTTAAGCCAATTTTACACATAGTACGATTTACTTTATTATTTACTTTATTTAATAAACAATTATATTATCTACGTCAACTCTAACCTCATTATAGTTTTAAATATAAACATACACTTCATTATTTATTCACCATATAAAATCATATTTCTATTAAACTTTTTTTTACAAATAATGTCACATAATGTACAAATTATTTATTTAAACTATCAGTTTGTTAAAAAAATATATTTAACTCAAATTATTGATATTGAAAGATACTAAGTGTGAAAAATATGTATAAAAAGCAAACAATTATATCAAACGATTAAATCAAATTTGATGAATGAATATCAATCAACAATTACGAGTCTGGATTGCTCCCTAAAAATTTATAGTATTCTGAATAATTTTGTAGAATTTTTTAAGTAACTAAATTGTTTCTTATCTCTTTTTATTTTATACTTTTTTGTATAATTTTTTTATTTTTTATCATGCAGTCGATTAAAAAAAGAAAATACAATAATTCTCGTTTCAGATTTCGTGGATTCAATTATTCTTCTATTTATTGTAATAAATATCATTCGAAGGAACATTAGAAATATCGAATAAAATGACAGTATCGAGCATTCACGAGAATCTGTTCAAACCATTGATGGAACGATCAGATCTATTCGCAGATGCTTTTTGTAATATACATTGTTCTAAATCGACAGATATATCAGAAAATATTGCAAACGAAGCAAGTATAATAAATGAAAAATTATTATATATAACAGTACAAATAAACGTCTGTTATTTGATGATTTATACACAATTATATAAATCTTTTCAGATTGAAACTACGATAAAGCCTCTCACAAAATCGTCGACAATAAAAAATTATTCGACGCAGATGGGATCTACCTTGTTTGCGTTAGCTGATTTATCATGCATCTCTGTGCTCAAAAAACTTCAAATCTTATCTGTTTTATTAAAAGAAGCAGAAAACATGACATGCTGCGAAGAAATCGCTAAAGGTATTATTCATTCAAAATAGAAACAAGATATCTCAAAATCTATGTATGTATGTGTATAAATGTTTTTATCGAAAATATATCTTATTGAAAAATAACTATATTAATATTTAAAAAATTTCGTTGTGTACGAATATTTAATATTTGTTTATATAATATTAAATTTTTAATTTTAATCTTATTAAATTTAAGTTTTATACGTGTATATGATTATTTGACAATTTTGCATTAAATCTCTATAAATTAAAAATCACTTCTACAGTAAATATAATAATTTACAACAAATAAAATTGCAAACAATAAAATTATTATATAAATATTTATGTCTCGTATCTTAAATAATTAAACAATTGTCATAAATTATAAATTAATATCACATATCGGATAAATTAAACAGATGCAATGTTATTATAGATTAAAACAGAATTATTTTGCTATCTCATAAATTATAAGCTAAGACTCTTATGCAAATAATCTTTATTTATTTTTATTGCTATGCTCGCTAATTTACAAGAGATAGTATTTTTTAGTAATGCTTCTCGCATAAAATTCTTGTAATATTGCAGAACTGCCGGCGCATATTCAGACAAAAACTCTCTTAAATCTTGCAAATAATTTTATTCGCGAATGGGGAGAAAAACCATGTAAAACGCGGTCCCATTTCAAAATTTGCAAATTCTGTGACAGTATTATCAACGAGGAGACTCGGCAATACACGGTATAAAATACAAGTTATTAACATAATACTTTAATAGAATACAAAAGAGTTTTATCCTCTTTAGAAGAGATTTATCTTCGTGAGAATACTTTTTCTACTTGCTTATGAAAATTATTTTAGGAGAAATTTTGTTGCATCGCAGCAGAACATTTCGATCGATTATTGAAGGAGTGGCTCTCACATGTATCACATGTAATCTTTATTTCACTTGTAAAATTATGCTTATACTACAGATTCATTTACGATTGTCTTCTCTCTTACTTTTTCGTAGAATACATCAAAAATAAAATCTTCTAATCCTACCAAAGTCAAATACAAAGTGAATTATTCAAGTGAGAATACTTTGCAAAAAAATGACTTTATAAGAATCGATAACGTCAATAATGCAAGATTACAATTAGTCTCCACTAATGGCCTAACTACACTCGAGGATCACTATAAGAGCCACATTGGCTTCCAGTCAAAGACATATTCGAATACTTGGACAAAATTACATAACAAATGTCATAATGTTTTAAATACTTCAGGAGAAGACAATTCGACAAAAGCTAAGCGTTTCATTCAATCGGCTATGGAAATAGATCATCATATCGGAACCGCCAACGATCAATCGAAAGCGAATGGTAATCATTCACTTCGGCGCGAAAAAACAAGAGTGTCAGCAGGTGGAACACGTAGTGAGGACCGTACAAGAAACACCGGCATGGAAACGGAAAGAATACGCGAAAAACGTGATAATAATCCGTATCAGCACAGACTCGGTGAGGTCGAAGATAAGGACCGGCAAGATCGCCGCTCGGCTCAACGTGACGTGCAAGAAGAAGCGAACAGATCGTGGATCGCGGTTGGAAAAACACGAAAAGATGGAGATACGGAAAACGGGAATACGGTGGAAGAGAGCAGCGGGAATCCCGGTAAGAATCCTTATCAACAGCGTCGCTGGGAAGAACGCGAGACGCGATTGCTGGATAACAGAACGAAGAAGATCGACCGATTGGATCGAGTCGAAGAGAAGAGCACTTCGATAGAGACATCGAAGCCAACCAAAAGGTCCGAGGTAAAGCAGGATGGGAATGATCGCAATCGACACGAGAACGAGGAAAAGCCAACTACTCGCCGAGATAGAAAGGAAGAAGGGAAGGACAAGGACAAGAGGGAAGGAACGATGCTCCTAAATAAGAATAAGGAGCCTGGGACTAAGAAAGCGACGGTTTCGCTTGACGATGCGGAAGAGGGACGCTTTGTCGTTAATGAAGAGGGAAAACTTCCTGCAAATGATGAACAACGCAAAGCTGCTTCAGCTGAAAAAAGATACGATCTCGAAGAGGCGAGAAAATGGAGAATTAATAGTAAGTGTCTGCGGACATTTTTTATAAAACACAAAAAAATAATGCATAAATTATGAAAAACTGGTATAATATTTTTTCAATTTGATGCAGTTAAATTTTGTGTAATTTAACGTGAGCAATTGAGATAAAATGAGGATAGAAAAAATTACCACTTATTAAAGTTAAACGAAATCATTCTGGTACTAACCTTCTCTTGTATTATCATACAAATCGCATTATCAATCGCGTGAAAAGATGCAATTCTAATTATGGAAAATTTCTGCTTTTATAGATCCTTCAAATCCGATCGAGTATCAATTATCGAACGCGCACTTTGTGGAACTTGGCTGGACCCTGTTGCCGATTACTAAAACCATGAGAAAGATCGTACAGTATGAAGCCAGACCAGCAAAGCCCAGGTTAGATTGGTAAGTAAATATTCAAATATATCTCTATAAAAAATAATATAAATGTATAAAATATATAAATAATATACTTTTTAAATAATAATAAGAGTAATAAGTAAGCTTATTATTTATACATTATAAAATAAAATAGTGAAAATTTTTATTAAAGCTATATATATCATAGGATAATATATATCATAGGATTTTATATAAGCAATATATAATAATATTTAAAATTAGTATATAAAAACATAGATTAAAAATGATCCAATATTGTCGTTAATCAGATAAATTAAAAGATGCTAATATTAATTTAGAGCAAAAAGTAAGCAAATTGAACAATGATTAAATTACAGTTAATTTTGCAAAAAGTCTCGTAATTATTTAGTTTCTAATGACTAAACAATTAGGCCGACGAATTAAGCTAAGAGACACCATTGCAAACAGAGCATGTTTTTTACCAGTTCTACAATTTAAATTATATAATATTGCATTTAAATTATTAATATTGCATGATTAACCACTAAATGATTAAGTAATTTATGTTTTTATATTAGGTTAAAAAAATACAAGCATAAAGGTACGGAATATTATGAAGATGGTCTAACACCATTTTTGAAATTCTATCCCGATGGTTCCGGCGAGTTATTTTATCCCAATGGCATATTAGCTATTAGGGTTTATAAACCAAAAAATCGGAAATGTAATTGAATTATTTACATAATGCTATCTATACAGAGTACTCCATCATTATTGTCTGCATAGAGTGTCTCATTCATAAATCCTTTAATAAATTTCGCATCAAGTGCTTTAAAAAAATGAAACATAAAATTAAATAATAATTATATTGATTTAATTTAACTTGATGCATTAATTACATGACGATTAAATATTAAATTGCATTTCTATTAAATAATCAGAATAAAAATCACAAAGTTTAGATATTAACATTATTAAAATAATGTTTCATTTGTGTCGTATATTGTTAACATTTATAAATTTTTAAACATTCATCTCTCTTAGTAAATAAATTAATTGTCATAATTTCTTTATCATTAAATAATTGTCATTTTATTTTTGTCATCCATTATTTAATCGATATTTGATAATTTTCTCTGGAGTACTCTGTATATATATACAATTTATATGCAATACAGCAAAAATTAAAAGAAAATCGTCATCCATCGAAAAATTAAATATAAATATAAAAAAAAATAATGATAAAATTGTTAAATATTTTTCAAAATTGACGATTGCTAAATTGAATTAATCAATTTTCGACTGGCGACGATATCACACTCGTAAATATCACTCAATCTAAGAAGACCGGCCTTCGGAGACAGGCTTAAAAAAATCGCTACTATCGATTTCAAGACGATATGTATACTGTGTTCACGCCAGGAGGCAAAGATGCATTGGGGATCGGAAGGGGATCTCAGATCTTGGCAATATTCGACACTATGGGATACGGTGTCGTTTTCGACGTGGACGGCGCGGCGAGGTTTGTTCGTGAAAAAAGAATTTACAAAGAATGTTTAATTACTGTCGAGGAAGCCTCTCTCGCTCGACCGATTCACGCGATTCCAATTACTTCCGCAGGCTGTCCTATAACCAGATCGGAGGAATTTTTACGGACAATCCCGCGGGCCTGCCTCTCATTTGGACTTGGAATGCCAAGCCGAGAGAGTCGATACTCGAGACTGTGTATATGGTAGGTGTGAACGCGTTTACCAGAGTTTTTTCCACTTTCCTCGCGTATAGATTTTCGATCAATCATGAATAAGCGAACGGAACTAAAACTTTTCATCTTCCTTAACTTTTCCATCGGATTACGGATTACGGATTGAAAGTATGCGAAGGCAACCTTTATATATACGTCATTCCTAAGTTTTGTGTATAAACCGAGTACCTTGAATTTATTCAAACGATTTAAAAAGTCTTTTGTAAGAAAAATAACGCGCAAAGTGAGTCGATCTTTCATGCAAAACTTAATGTTTCAAAATTCTTTTATCGATATATTATATAAAATGAACGAAATAGATTTTTTTTCTTTGAAAACTGCAGGAGAGACCGACCGATTTATGTACACAACATGTTCCATTTGATTGGCTCCTCAGTTCCGGAAATGTTAAGACATCGGCATCATCTTCTAGCTCATCATCTAGAAATAAGGAAAAGAAGGTCGTCGAGGTACAGAAACCTGTTGTCGAAGAACGACAAGAAGAGATCGGAAACAAGTATGTCAAGCAAGAAAGTAGAGCAAATTCTATCCGAACAAAGCATTTCAATTATGCGATATGTTATTTTCCTGGAGATAAAAGTTACAGCAGTAATTTACTAAAAAAACACAGATCATTTAATTATTATCCTATTCAAACTAAATGAATTATGTGAAAACTTATATATAAATTATGTGTGAATAAACTTATATATAAATTATGTGTGATAAATTATATGTGAAAATTCTATTTATTATTAACCATAATTACATGTACTTGTAATTTACTAATATTTTTAATATAATATGATAAAAATAAAAATATGTACATATTATTTCGTAATTATAATTAATAAATTATCAATGTACTTTTAGACTGAATGGCAACCAGGATTTTCCTAAAGAGGATATCTGTCACATAAAAATGATTTGCCTAAAATTGAATGAATTTCTCAGCTTGCGAATCATCGATCAAAAAAACATCAGTTTGCGATTTTCTGCTAGAAATAAAAACATCAAGTATTGCAATTATTTTAAACGAAATATACTTTCTCTCAGAAATGTTTTACTTTTATTATTTGGTTTTATTTGGTATTATTTAGTAATTTTTCTACTAATTTATCTTGGTTTTATTTTGTAGAATAGAATTGGGGACAATTTTGAATTTTAATAAAGAAAAAGCATCTTATATGATAGAAGCAAGCGATTGGAAAAGCGATATGCTAAGGTATAAGATAATAACATAATGCAAATTTGAAAATTGTCGTAAAAACCATGTTGCAGATGTCGATTCCAGGAGAATTTGTCCAAAACCTTGGAATCGGATAGCAGTCTGTACGATTTGGCTAAGGAATATCGAAAAGTGAAAAGATTCGCGAAGCAACGTAAAGTTATGATTGCCAAATACAAACCTTTCTCCAAGATCAACCATGCTTTTACTCGATCGTGTAAAGCGAAGAACTAGAAATTTTAAGCTATATAATTGAAGAAATGTTAGTTCGAAAAATGTTTTCCAAAGACTTTTCGTTGTTTCAGTGTAATATAAAAGATATATAAAAAATAGTTGAAGGAGAAGAAAGGGAGACTCAAATTTATATAAATAAAAATGAATCATGTAATTAAAATAATTCTCAAACAATTAATTGTTATCGTAACGGATGTTCGTGAATACATTTCTCGCACTGGTATTATAACGCATACAACACACACTTATTGCATATATGATGTCATACGTCTCATGTGTACATGTTAGTTTGTACACGTTTGTGTTGTATATGTATATATGTATGTATATATGTATATGTATACGTGTGTGTGTTTGTGTGTGTGTGTGCTTAAGACACATACGTAAACATATTCCCAATTCCCGGGAATATTCTTAGACGGATAACTTAAGTACTAAGCGAAGTAGGAAGGTCGTATAATTTTGATCAATAAATTATGTTAGATCAATCCGGATGTAGAGTTAAAAAAGGGAATATAAAGAGAAATATAGAAAAAAAAATAATAAATAGAATTCTCGTTGAATCTTAAACGACTTAGCGAGCGTTCCACGATCGAATAGTCGATTCTTCGCTCCGAATTAAACTTTTAGAAAACAAGCCTTTGCCTTTGAACAACTTTCTGCGAGACAAACATGTTTACCGGAAGCGTTCGCTGAATCGTTCGAGATGGCAAGCATCGCCGTCGACGTATGACGTCGAGCGTCGCGACGCGCGAGAATCGCCGACGCGGAGTGTGATAAAACGCGACGAGATACGGTAAGAATGATGAAGAGAAACGCGCTCGTTGAATTAAACGATGCGTATATAAATAAATGCGTAGTACGCATGATGAATCGGAGAAGAGACGCGAGGACAAGCGGGTCCTGAAGGGCCATCTGACTACCCGCGCGACTTATTTACAATGCCCTCCTAGAGACTACTCTGGCGATTGCGATTGATCTCTCGCTTCCTGATACCGAGGACGGACTGTTGACGACGTGTGGATATTAGACGTTGATTACTGCCGCGCTGCGGTGATCACGAAGCATCATCGAAGATCGATTCGCGATATTTATTACTGGACCGCGCGTTCCATCGATCGCGATCGAATTGCTCGGTAGAAAAAAAGTAATTCCAATCGCGAACGATCGATGGAATGCGCATCAGTGTAGCTGCTTTCTCATTTACCTTCCTCTCATTCCGTTTTTCCATTTCTTCGTTAAATTTGCTCGTGCTTTCGGACTTCTTATTTACATGCTACTCAAAGATCCGCCTCGTACGATCGCACTCACGCTTTCTCGATAGCGATCTAGCCGTTGTTCCTCTGGATTCGACGAGCGCGATTGACGCAACTGGACTAGACACCAAGCTATCATGATGGAAGAGGAGAGAAAAGAGAAATGTGATTTTGCAACTTTCGACAAGGAGAATTTCCGACGAATGTCGCGAATTTCGGGCGAAATGTCGCGATACGGTTCCGAAGTATTGCCGGTCGTTCGAGGTGGACGATCCTCCGGGGGGGATTCCGTCATCGTCCTCCTCTCCTGCGACGAGTCCTTTTTTGATTTTGCGCATCGTATATGCTGCTTCAGTTGGCGACCTTGACAAACTCCGGATTCGGCATGTTGCAGTCCGGCACATACGCCGGATGTACGAAGCCGTTTCCACCTATCGCGGCGTTCTTGCGGTCCACAGCGCGCACCCTGACGAAGAGGAAGGCCGCCACGAGGGAGGCAACCACGACCACCAGAAGCAACATCACCAGACCGCCCACGAAACCGGGCAGACTCATGCAGATCGTCTCTGGATCGGTGGACGCGCTGGCGTTCTGTATCACCACGGTGGTGTCGTTGCTGGAATTCGTCGTGCCCAGCGCAAAATTGACGTCACCCGGTGCGACTACTTGGATGACTCTCGAGGTATTCACGTCCGTCATCTCCTGCGCTGCTCGTTTGTACACGTGGGTGGAGAACAGGGTCACCGTGTGATAGATATTCTAAAAATCGAGGATAACCGTTGTAATGCCGAAGAATTCGTCGTAGTAGGATAGCAAACGGTACCATAGAACGCGTCATTGATAATGTATTCGTCATGAGCGTACATTGTCGACAAATTGGAGGAGGATACTTTACGTTAATAACTCGAATTGCAACTACTGAAAGACTCTGAAGCTTTGCTTCAAATGTTTACTTCGATCTTACATTCGGAAAATAGATTTAACGAAGAGAAAGAAAGAAGGAGAGAAAAAATACTTACACTATCGTCATCTTCCAACTCGTGCGGCTCGTCGTGTCTTCGCCTCCTGGCGCCTCTGAGCTCGGCCGGAAAACCTTCGACCGACCTCGGTCGACCTCCGAGGATGGCTAGGTTACCTTCAAGCTCCTCCGTACCAGCGGTACCCTTTCGCTTCACAGTCTGGTACGCCGCCGAATGGCCGGGTAGAGGGGGTGGAGGGAGATGGATATTGTCCTGGGGACTCTGGGGTGAGCTGCTCGCTGTAGCGTCGCCTGGCGTAGAGCTGGGTGAAGAGGACGAGGTCTGCGCCTGCGGCGCCGGAACTACATCTGGATTCGGTTCGCTGCGGGCAGAAATTAATTTGTTGTAATATTGTTTTGCCAACAATCTCTCATATTTCTACTAAAGAATAATCTTCTGTATTAATTTGAATAATTTATTTAAACTATCCAGTTTTGATAAATATATATTAGCATCATGATATTTATGTTAAAAATTTTTATTTTAAACAAAATATTACTCTTATACAGCAATAAAAGTTTATAATAAGATTAGATCTTGCCCCGTAAAAAGTGCTCAGTAAAAAGAATTTTCAAATAAATTATTCAAAATATTTCATAAAAGCATACATGAAAATTATAGAAAAAATCTATATATATATTAATGTAATCATATTTTAATTATCTGTATAATTATTTAATTATAAAAAATATTATAGATGTATTTCCATTTGTAAATAAAATAAATATAGATTATAATTTTTTCCAGCAAGAAAAAATTGCTAGATTCTTAACGTGATCTAGCAGATTTCTTTTTACGCGAGTTGGCGACTCTCAATGGACACTTCGTAGAAAAGCTTTCTTTAAACAGTAATTATGCTTTCTCACCTATACGCTCCAGCGGGTCCGCTGGGATGTCGCGGATCCGGATAAGCCGGTGGCACGCCATATTCAGGCACAGGCGGGGCACCGTACTCCGAAGAAAGACCTTGCGAAACCGGTGCGCCATATTCGTGAGAGATGCCGGCGACAGGCACACCGTACTCGAGACCAGGATGTCCACACTTAGGCTCGGGGCAATTGTATCGGCAAACTTGAATCACGCACTGGAAGTGGACGTTCATGCTGTCGGGGAACTTGAAGGCCTGGAAGTAGGCGAAGCTAACAACGGACGCGCTTGGGCCGAAGTTCTTGATCTTCTGGAACCTACAGAAGAAACAGCCTCGTTACTCCTCTCTCTTGGAAACTACATTAATTATAACTCCCGTATATATTATACACAATAAGAGAATTATTTCATATACAAATAATATTTCTTGTCTATTACTATTTATTATATTTTCTTGTATATTATTATTATTTTTTATATACTTTTATATTATATTTTGACGCTATTATAATATATCCTGCGATCATATCATATTTTATATTATCACGAATGGGCTGAAACTCACCTGGACATGATCTTCGGCCTGACAACGCAACCATATTGATCGACCAACTGAATCGGCGCTCTTTTGCCGTCGTGGGCGACGCAGTTTCTCACCAGCATGTCAAACTTATTCTCATCGTCCTTGATAGCCAACACCATTGTCATAGTCTGACCGATCTTCACGATGCCGGACACCTCGCTGGCCCACGGACCCTTGCCAACCTGTATCTGCATCCAACACTGCAGGTTGTCGCCGAGAAAGTTGGCTGTGACAGCGTGCAACATGTCGACCTGGAACGGCCGGAAGGTGACCGCTTTTTCATAGAAGTCATACCAAGTACAACGCAGCTTCCTCGCTTGATCCCACACTTCCTGCACGTACGGGTCGTATTGCACGATAATCGTATTCTCCACGTAACTGCCGGATGGCGTCGGGGCACCATAAGCCGCAACATTGTGATTCGCCGACGAGCTCATGCCGCACGAGTTGAGGAAGATCTCGAAGGTCGCGCTCAGGTGACCGGTGCCTGGTTTGAGATGCACGCAATGCGGATCCGAGTAGAAGCCCTTGCTGAAGATCATACCGTAGAACGGCCGATCGAATTCGATGTTCACCCGCATGTGCGTTTTCTCGCACTGCACCTGCAGATGCTTGATCTGCGGGGTGTCGGGTGACGCCAGCGGCCAGTTCTCCTCGTGAACCGCTGGCGGGCCGTACTGAGCTGGGGCTCCATAGACTGATCTGTGTTCCAGTGGTAGTGCGCTGCTGTCAACCAACGGTGCTTCACTCCGTACGCCCTAGCAAGGATGAATGACGCCTTCAATAAGGTTTGCACAAGACTCAAGACAAGACTTGCAAAAATGTTTTGGTATTAAACATTTTTGAAAACTTAAATCTTATCTTAGTCTTGAATGAAGCTTTCTGGCAAAAATATTGTCTTGTCTCGATTTTTCTTAAAAATCAATCTTAAAAATTAATCTTGATAACTAATTAAAAATCTGGTCTCGAATTTTGAAGCAAGACAAGACTACCGTTAGTATCTCGTGCAACTCTAATCTTAAAACAGTGATCAAGAAAAATAATTATTCATCATATAATAAAGATGCATAATGTTTATACTAAAATAAATGCAAAAATCCTATTTAAAGAGTGATACAAGTAAACGTATAATAAAACTACATATCAAAATTAAAATGTAATAAATGCGATTAATTATGAAAATTGCCGCATTTATTCTTTCGAGATGCAACTAATTATTTGCACAAAACATTTTCAATCTGCTTATATAAACAAGGTAAAGCGAATATGACGCAATTGAAATATGTCGACTTTGAAGATTATTCAGGTGGGTGCAACTATTTCGAGAGACGCATGTCCTTTTCGAGACCCTGTACGTACGCCTTTCGAAAGGGCTCTTCACTCTGCGGTCTTATAACGGAGATTCAACTGAAGTTTCGACAGAATCGCATTAAACGTGATGAAAAGCAACGATTTGCCGTCTTTCTCGACTCTTTTCTTTCGAGACGAGAGTTCTCGCAAGCTACGGTCTTTCTGGAATTACAATGAATGACGAGTCGCAGTACGTCCCCTCCCTCTCATCGTCACCCCCTTCATTCCCTCTGGCACGATACGGAAGCGAGGCTGGAAGATTAGGAATTCCACGAATGTTTTCGGCCGTTGCGACCTTTACAACGGAATGTCAATCGAACACGATTTACGGTGCGCGAATTCCGTAGAAAAAAAAGCACTTCTTGACCTTGAAAAATGCATCTCTGAATCTTTTTTAACTTCCTTAACATCCTTAAGTTCGTTATTAAGGACGAGAGAATCTTCGAAGTACGTGACCAAGAAGATTTACGATTCGCTATATATCTTTCTTTTTGCTCTCTTTTGTGCAAACTTTTTTTTTAGAGGTGTAGATATGTGGAAAAATAAGTTCGAATGAAATTATACAATAAATTCTATAATAAAGTTATATTCTCATTTCTAATAAATTAATTTATATTTCATTAAGTAGTAGAGATTTTAAATCATAATAATACAAGTATTGTGCAATTGGGGAAGCTATTATTTTTTATTTTCTTTTTCCTCGTCACTGTTTTCGTGATAGTCCATTTGCACCTCAAAGCGATTGTTCAATATTAATTCTTACAATGTACTCTGTAAATATTAATCTTTCGAACCTAATAACCATGATACGATCGATATACAAGTCTGGATCCGAGTCGAATGATGTCGACACTTTTGTGCCAATACGCATCAGGTACCGTATGTTAATAATGCTCGAAGATATGCTGACAAAAAATGTGACCGAAAATACGTGTACTGTTAGCCAAAGGAGGAGCATTCGTCGAGAGCAATCGAATGCGGACTTATGTTCGGAAGATCGGCCGGTTCCCTCGGGCAATTTTGCATTCCGATTTGGCGCAGAGTTGCAGAAACGTAATTATGCTCGCGTACAATGTCTTTATTTCCGCCAAGGGAGATTCTAAATGCGATTTTATTCGTAAAGCGTATCTATCGCATTCTCTTATGTTTTCCCCAATTTGACACGCAACTCTAAACACATACATATACACACATTGCTTTGTCCTTATCTAAAATCTAGCGTTTTCCATTTGATTCTGCGATATGAATCTCGCACACTGATACTGATTAATAACTGAAAAGAACGTGCAATTAATATATCGATTTAAAGATAGCGATTATGAATATAGTTTGCGTGCTAAGATACCATGTTTCATTGTATATAAAAAAAATAAAGAGGCGCGCGAGAAATATATATATATATAATATATATTCAGAGATAACTGTATAAAACTAGATCGTCGTGTGCCAATTGCAACAGTTTTCATTATAAGCTAATTACAGAAACCAAACGTTACGCGTGCGTGATGGTAAACTAGACCGCATGAATCTTAATCGTACAATTGATACAGTCGTTAATCTTTGGATAACGCAACATTAATTTGTTTCTATAATTGCTCCATTAAATATGCACGTTTCTAGTATGAATCATGAGCTGCGAAAAGGATTACTTCCGAAGGATTCCGAGCGATTTTAAAGAACATTGGAAGAAATGATTTTTGAAAATAACTTAAAGGAATTATAAAATATTTTGAGACTTCCTATCCTATCTTGTGACAGAAAAATCCTATTTTCTTCGTACTTTTTGATTTTCTATTCATCTCAACAATGTATATTATAATTATAATTTTATATAATTTTATATATATTATTATTATAATTTTCTGGAAAGACCAAGTGAAGCAGTGCCATCGTTTTAATCGTCGTATCAATCGCGACAGCCAGACAATAGTGGCGATTCACCGAGTAAATCGGTGTCATATCTGTTCGTTTCTTTATTCTACTTGTATCTGCATCAGATTCGAGGATTCTTTCTGAATAAAAAATTACCGAAAATTATCGATGATACATCGAAATTATGGTCCGCTACGATTATAAGCTAAATAAATGCGATCGATTTCTCTGCTAGGCTGTCGAATTTCCGGCGCAAATATGATAATGAATATATAGATCAGAATAAATATAAAATTCGAGTTAATTAGTCAGTCCGTGAGTCTCTTTATGGATAATATGTATGTACATATTTTAATATCTCCACTATCTATATTTTTATATCTAAAATTATTACTTTTACATTGTTAAAAAGTTAGTACTCTACTTTCATTTTATTACGTCTTCCTGCCATCCTTAATTTTAATAAGTATATAAATAGGTTAAAGATAGAATTACAATTCTTGAATGATGAAACGCGACTTTTAAGTCTAGTATTTAGCGAAAAATAACTTTCACGATGAATCGTTAATTTTAATATCAAAACATAACTTTCATGACAAGTCATTAAATCTGATAGAATCAGCTTCATATTGAAGCTGATAAATTTGTCTTAAAAAATGATATGTATATATATATATATATATATATATATATATATACATATCATTTATATATTTATATATATTTAAAACCTATTAAATACATAATTATGCAACGATATAAAACTTAATATAAAAAAACACACTTAATATAAAAAAATTCACCTAAAGTCAAATTATTTAGTTTGCAGTTAATTTATTACAAAATTAAAATAAGTGAAAAAATAATCATCAACTAATTTAAATTTATCTTTTTTTAGAAAGCACTCGAAGACGCATCACAGATGAAGAATATGTGATCGCGACAGAAAACAAGGTGATTTCACTTTTCCATTGTCGTCCCTTGAACAACGAATTGTTCGCGATTGGAGAACGTATCTATGTACTTTCACTGAAAATGCAAAATAAGCATCTTATAGCCGCGGATGTCATGGCTCGATACGAGACGTTGACGATTTCAGAAGTTCCGCTTTAATCGCGCAATTTTACACTATTGGCCGCGCTGCTTAATAGGTTGAGTGCTATGGACGGATACCGGTGTCCGATATTTCACGATGACGGTATTTTTATCTCCCTCGTATTATATACACAGCGAAGAGTTCACGAATATCAACCTTCAAAATGAGTACACTTATTGATTTGGTACTTATATTTATAGTTGATTCATCTCTTAATATTTTCCTTAATTTATTTAATATAATATATAGATACGATACCAGACAAGTTGGTATAATTTTAAAGATACAAAAATAGACACCGAAAAATTAATACGCAATCGGGATGACTATTGATTCATATCTCAATCATCAAAGATATTTTTATTCGCGGGAAATACATGTGACAAATTTGACGACAAACGAATTGACGATCGAATTTCTCTCGTTTAAAAATCATTTCGCGTTTCTGCGGGTTTGCGCATCCAACAATGTAACACAGCCCGCTATCAAAAATAAGATAAGAAATTTTCACAAAGAGAAACTTTCGAGTCGTAATACAAGCGATGTCTCTTCGGCTATATATGGTGGCGAAAAAGTAGGCCGGGTCAATCAACGTAGACGGCGGTACTACATGTCGCGTTGTACGTTTCGATAAGGCTATTATGTGAAACGTTCGACGTCGAAATCGAAATAGTCGCGAAAAAAATTCATTGACTCGTTTCGCAAGATGATATATCACCGTTCGAATTGATTTCGACTTTATCGTATCGATTGTACATTTTTAAATCAAGGTCTAATTATATTCTAAACGTTAATTAATCGATTCCTATTAAGCTGATTAACTGCAAAGGTGAATATAAAAAAATTATATTATACATTAATAGATAACATTATATGTATGTATAAGTGTACAAGATACGTAATATCTATCGATAATGTAAAACTAGAACCTGTATTTTTGAAATAAATGATCAAATATATCGCTTATATGGAACATTAAAAATAAAAGACATTGATCGCTCTAGTTTAAGGTGATAATATCCAATACTAATTTAACAGAGCTAATAAGATTAACAAGAAGACTGCGAATCATTCTTACATTGAATCTAAAATTTACTTTTACCGAGGGAAATTGTACAAAATATGTAAGAACCAGACAAGACTATTATTAAATTTAAGACAATAATGTTTCGCCGAGACTTAATGCTCTTAATCTGATCCATTTTTATAATAACGGTACTTTACGAATGAAAAGTCCAAGTAGAGTGGAATAAATTGCATTCAAACGCTCCGTAGATCTAATCTACAGATTACCCGCTTTAGGAGGGACCTAAATCGTCGACGTTTTTTTTTTCTTTCTTTTTGAGGTATCGCGAGCGCGGGAAGACGATGCGCGATCTAATTAAGAACAGGGCGATTAGCGTCGTAGCGCGTACAAAAGCGCGTGCGAACCAGGCTGAG